AATACTAAGCAATTTGGGCAAGTAATGTCAGCTAAAAGAGGGATGCTTGTAACGGTTTGCTGCGGTATTAATGCATTGGGTAACTCAATATCACCCTTTTTCATATTCCACGGGTCAATTTCAAAACATCTATGCTAAATGATGCACTTGTTGGTTCAGATATAACAGCACATCCTTTAGGGTGGATGACAGCACCAAATTTTATAATAAATGTTCTTAAAACATAAGACAGAAAACAATTCTTAAGCTTGCTGATGAATATACTTTCAAACCAGAGAAAAGAAGGAAGATTAGAGGTGATGATGAAATAGAAAATATTTCCATTTCTGACAATACCCTTGTTGAAATTGATACATATGAAGATTTTGATGTAGACAATGTGATTGTTCTGGATAGAAATTTCTAGATCAATAACTTTTTGATGGTTAAATTTGACACCAAAAAAACTGTCTATCATTATGTTGCAATGATCAAAGAGGTTATCACTTCATAGCAATTGCCAAATTCATGAGAACAAGTAAAATAAGAAATACGTTTATGTTTCCTGACATCGAGGACATAGCCAGCGTCCCTCTGGAAGATATAAATACAAAATTGCCTACACCAAATATTTGGATGAAACGTTGCAGTTTAAAATATAAATTTGACAAGCCTCTCAGGGTCATACCAAATACAAGTCTTACTAAGTCCAACATCATAAAGTGTTGATTCCGATTCACATTGTTTTATTTTTTCTAAAGTCTATCATGAGAAAAAATGTTTAGATTACAACTTTTTATAGCAACGCAATATAATACCTAAGCATAGTAGTAAAGTAAAACAATATTGTTCATGTTAAATAGTGCCCAAACCTAAACCTCCCTGAAGGGGTGCCCAAACCTTCCAATCATCAGATGGTTTGGGCACTTTGGACATGTGTTCAAAGATCTTTTGTAAATTTGAGTCTAATCATAATACTAAAACTCTACTTAGCAACAAACTGCTGAATATCTGTGAATATTTGAAATAAAATTAGAATCTAGAATCTGCTGAATATGCGTGAATATATATTTTCAGCGCATTTGTTAAAACCGGTGGTAAAATGAACAAAACAAAATTTATTTGTGTAGTATAAATAAATGATATAAAGATTTGAAATCGCATGCTTTCCTGGCCAAGTTTGTATATCTTGAAACTATGATGTAAAACCTTATTATAAAACCATATTATTAATACTATTTTTAATTGCGGTAGTGGTGTAGTGGTAGAGCGCTCACTTCATAAACGAGTGGTTCCGAGTTCGATCCCCACCACGTCCCTGGTAGTACCGCGCTCAACTCGTTTCTCCGCGCAGCGGCCTTGTTCATCAAGGTTCGTGTTTCGGAGTTATAGAGTTGAGAGAGGGTTATAGCCACAAAATAAGTAGCCTCCTCGTCTGTAGTGGCCTTCTCGGCCTTGAGGAAGTGAAGTAAAATAAAATAAAAATTAGGAACTTATGGTTTAAAGTTTAAAATTTTAATTCGTGTGATAATTCATTATATAAAATTAAAAAAAATAAAGCTTACAGTGCAATGTAATATTAAAAATGAAACAACCATAAATCACAACAATTTAAAGGAATTTAGCAATTTAAAGGAATTTAGCAAATAAAAAAAAAATCAATTAAAAGCTTGTATCTCTCTAACGCAAGTATTTAAATAAAATTAAAGACTGAGTAGTTTAAAAATAAGTAAAAAATAATTTGTTTTTAATTTAAATGGCCTCCTTAATATAAAGAAAGACTTAAAAGAATTAATTATAAAAAAAAAAAATAAATGTTTTTAGTTAAAAATTTGGTTTATTGTTAATCAAATTTACGTTAAAAAGATATATTTTAAAATATAATTTTTGTTATATTTTAAATAACTATAAATAAAAAAAAAAAAACTCTAATAAAACATTTTCAAATATCTTTTAATCATTAATTTTATTATCAATTAATAAATGTTTATTTTAAAACATTAAATTTATCAAATAAATAATTCTTTGAAGTTTCCCCCTATTGAAAGTCGAATTTTATTGTCACATACAATACGCAAATAGCTTCAGAATAATTTTGTATTGGTAGATTTTAAAGTTACCGCACATATTTTTTGAATCTTAGTATTACTTTAACTGTTATTATTTTTACAATCATTTTGTTATTTCATTAGTATTTGCAATTGTAAAATTAATTCTTTCATTAAAACATTTTTTACTTCGGTTCTTTTCTTTGATTATTTTTAATAAACTGATAATTTAAAGACCAAAAACATTTATAGATATCAAAATTCATGATGACCTAATTTGCCAATGTGGTGTGTTCCATGTTTAACTAAAGTTGCATTCAAAGCAATAACTTCATCATAAGTTCTTATAATTAAAGTCATATTTAAATTTTTAGCAACTTTGTATGAAAGGTCTTGGTCTGAAGAATAAACAAAGCTAAAAAACTTTGATGGAAATAAGCAAAATAAGCAAACTTATGACTAAAAATGTCATTTAACTTATGTTACACTAACTAAAAAAATGTTTCATCTTTTAGGTCAGATTTCTGTAAATCAGCATTTTGAATTATATTAATATTTTTAACAAGATGTTGATTACAAACAGGAAGAGCGTGCAGTCTCACGCCTTGTACGGTCTCACGCCTTGTACGCTTAAAGTAATTTTTTTAGACAAATTAATCATTTTTATATAGTAAGCATTTTGAGAATTCGCAGCAAAGCAAAGCTATAAGAAACTAGATAATAAAACAGCAATAATCAAAGAAAAGAACCGAAGACTATAAGAAAATAAAAAATCTTAATAAAAAAGGTAAAAAAAAATTTAATAATAAAAAAGAAAATTGTTGTCAAAAAAATAATATACCTCAATATTTTACTCTTTTTGTTTTCTTATTTTTAGGGAGTTTGTTATTTTCCACTACTTAAATACTTATATCAAGCAAAAAAGTAGAAGAATATAACGAAAATAAAAATATCTTTTGATTTACAAATTTTTTGCAACTTTTTTCAGTCAGTATATAAAGGAAATACTTTATAAATTACGCTAAAAACATGGACAATTTTTAAATTTGTTTTTCAAATGTCTTTGCTATACTTTACTATTTTTATTAACGCACAGGAAAGCGAAAAAACTATTTGCTATTTATTTATAAAAAATTAATTTTTTTTTAACAAGTTTTTTATGTTAAAAATTAAAATGCTGCAAAATTTTGTGGGCTAGTGCATTGTTAATTTACTGAACTTTGTTAACCAAATAATATTTTTTACAAATAAATAACAATTTATTTTCCTATTATATAAGTATTGAGAAAAAACAACAAATATAGCAAAAACTTTTTCAAAAGTAAAAAGTCGTAAAAATTAATAAACGTAAAAGAATACAAAAATTGAATAAAAATTTTAATTAAAATTTTTATTTTTTTATTTACTTTTTTTAATCATTAAATTTCCTTGTAATTAAACTTGATATTTTGTTACAATTTTGTTTTATTTTTTCTACGTAAACTTTCCTTTCTTACGTAGTTTAGTAAGTTTAGCTTTTTGCCGCAAATTATTGAAACACTTTTTAAGTTAGGTTAAGTTAAGAAATGCAAACTGCCATGGTCAGCTTGTCTATAAAAAAATACTTTAAACGCAGATAAACTAGGCATGCAACCACACACGCTTGTTCATCCATGTTCCGGAAATGCTTGATGTATATATAAATATATATATATATTTGATAGTGTATATATATATATATATATATATATATATATATATATATATATATATATATATATTATCAAGTATATATATATATATATATATATATATATATATTATCAAGTATATATATATATATATATATATATATATATTATCAAGTATATATATATATATATATATATATATATATATATATATATATATATATATATATATATATATATATATATATATATTATCAAGTATATATATATATATATATATATATATATATATATTATCAAGTATATATATATATATATATATATATATATATATATATACTTTTAAGTATATATATATATACTTTTAAGTATATATATATATATATACTTTCAAGTATATATATATATACTTGATAGTATACATATATATATATATATATATATATATATATATATATATATATATATATATATATATATATATATATATATACTTTCAAGTATATATATATATACTTGATAGTATACATATATATATATATATATATATATGTATATGTATATGTATATACTTGATAGTATATATATATATATATATACTTGATAGTATACATATATATATATATATATATATATATATATATATATATATATATATATATATATATATATATATATATATATATATATATATACTTTCAAGTATATATATATATACTTGATAGTATACATATATATATATATATATATGTATATGTATATGTATATGTATATATATATATATATATATATATATATATATATATATATATATATATATATATATACTTTCAAGTATATATATATACATATATATATATATATATATATATATATATATATATATATATATATATATACACTTGATAGTATAAATATATATATACTATCAAGTATTTGTATATATATATACTTGAAAGTATATATATATATATATATATATATATATATATATATATATATATATATATATATATATATATATATATATATACTTAGTATATATATATATATATATATATATATATATATATATATATATATATATATATATATATATATATATATATATACTTAGTATATATATATATATATATATATATATATATATATATATATATATATATATATATATATATATATATATATATATATATATATATATATATATATATATATATATATATATATATATATATATATATATATATATACTTGATAGTATAAAAACACAAAAAAAAAAAAAAAAATTTAAAACAATTACCTCTTCAAATATCCCTTGTTTCTTCTTTAAAAACTCTTCAGTATCTTTTGGGTTGTTGTTTTGTATATCAGGTGTATTTTTAATCAAAATTTCATTTATCTGATTTTCTGATTCACTCAATATATCAAAATAACTTTTGATTTCTTCTTTTAGTTTTAGATATTCATTTTCTTTAATAATTTTTTCCACACCTTCCAAAATCAATTGACTTTGTGACTTTTTTTCTGAATAATTTAAACACCAAGTATAAATAAAATGTAAATTTAATTAATGTATCTAAATAAATTTAATATAAAAATAATTATTTTAGATAATTATTACTTTTTTTCTAACATGTTTTTTTTTTAAAAAACAAAAACTAATGTGTAGTTCTATGGTTTACTAGACAACCATAGTCACATGTACAAGACAATCACTGTCCTTTCAGATAGCAACTGAATTTTGTAAAAGAAACCTAGATAATCTGCATGAAACAGATAAAATAGAACATGTGATAAATTGAACAAAACCTGTTATATAATGGTGCAAAGGTCTTTAAAAAAATATGATTAACTATGAAAAAATTTGCATCAAAGTTTCAGAAGTAATAAGTCAATTAGTTCTCAAAACCTCAATTAAATACTAGATTTTTTCTTTAGAATAGAATTCAATAGTTGGTTTTTTCTTTTAGTTAGATTTAAAGATTCAGAAAATGCCTTCAGCGTAATGAAACACGATCATGGCTTGATGCAGTCAAAGGGTTAAAAGTGATAAGTGGTTAAAAGGGCTAAAAATTCATAAGGTATATATCTCATATATAATGCATATATGAAAATTTGAATTATATGTTTCCTTTTTCATTGGTTTTTTGTAATATTTTATTTAAAAGTTTGTTTTTTATTATTGTTTTTTTTTTTTTTTTTTTCAGAATTTAAATAAACTCTTTGTATAGTCGTTTTTATTTTAATTACTTATTTAGAACTTGAGTAAAATGTTTGTTTTGCTATTGAGTTTTTTAAAATACTTTGTTAAGAATTTTAGAAGTTTAGCTGCTTGTATTTTAATTAGTTAAAAAATAAATTAAAACATTTTTTGTTCAGTTTTTAATTATTTCACTTACAATTAAAAATAAAATAAAAAATTCTTTGTTCAGTTTTTAATTATTTTATTTACAATTAAAAATAAAATAACACGTTCTTTGTTTAGTTTTTAATTATTTTATTTACAATTAAAATAAAACTTTCATTTTGCCGCGTTTTTTTTTAATATTTAGTTAGAATAACAACAAAAAATTTGTTTTGCAATTTTTTTCAATTATTTTATTTAGAATTAAATGCTTGTTATACCACTTTTTTATTTTATTAGAAATAGCAAATAAAATAAGTTTTAAATTTTGAGGTCAGTAATTTTTTTGCCAACCTCAGACACTGTCAGGTTGGCAGTTTGGTAAACATCGCCGAATGCTAACCCCTAATTCCAAGGGCTGATATAATACATTAGACTCTACAGTAGTTACAATAATAAAAAATTAAAGCAATCAAACTTAAATTCTGTTTTAATTTGCTGGAAATGTGGGAATGAAAGACATGCCAAAATTGTATGTTCTGTTAGAGAATCAATTTGTTATAAATATGGGAAAGTTAAGAAAGTTAAAGCTACTTTGCTAAGTTATGTAAGTTTTCTAAACTTACAACAGTATAAATCTTGTTGATTAACCTTTGAACTTATAAAATTCTTTACTTACTTGACAAGACTACCCTGATTACAGAAATAATTTTTAAAAATTTGCAGCCTCCACTTCAGCTTTGACTAAATCAACGATATTTATATTAGTTAATGGTTTATTTATAAAAGTTTTTATTGATAGTGGTAGCACTGATAGTTTCATGCAACCTTGGTTAGTAAAAATATAAACCTAACAGCTCATAGAAGAAACCAAAATCTGGTATCTATGGCTTCATCTTCCTTATCTAGCAAAGTTTGTGGCTAAGTTTGAAAAACAACATAAATCTGTAACCTTTCAATTTGAAGGAAAAAGACCCCGTGGATTAATTTGTGATTTGTTGAAGTTAATCTCAACCTAACTTATTTGGCAATTTATCTCTTAACTTTAAAAACAATTGCTTCAAAAAATATAGCAAGAATATAGCCATGATATAGCAAGGAAAATCAGTTACTTATTGAAATAGAAGTATAATGTATGCTTAATGAGGACATTATTAAATCTGGAAATGTAAATTTAAATAAAATTAAATCTTGCAATATCGAAGAGTTCGCTTGTCAGAGTGGATAATGTTATGGGCAGTGACAGCGGAGACCCGAGTTTGATTCATATAAAGTCCTATTTTATTTTTTTTATTAATGAGGCGAATGAAATAAAAATAAACTATACTTAAGGCAGACATTTTTTTCAGGCACCCCTCTTTAGTAAATCCGTAAAGAGCAAGTCATGGGAGAAAAGTAATATTGAAAACAAAGTTTAAAACCCAGTGCCGAGTGTAGGCTACCCATTCCCCTGTAACTAGGGGATGGGGTTTTGTGGGGGAGCAGCAAATGTTATGCCCTTTTATTTTAGCAAAACCTAGCAGTAAAATTTGGAAGATTTTGAGACCTAAATGACATGGAGAGGAGGGCGGGCGGTGTCCGACCTAACAGCCATTGCACTGCTAAAACCTGTTTTTTGTTGGCTCAAAAAATAGGCAACCTATTTTTTGCACATGCATGCACAATGCCATATCTTTTATACTGGCTCTGAGTATATTTAGGGCCAGTATATAAGAGGAGGCACGGGCGCCTGCAGGAATTTTTCATGTTCCAGATAGAACACCTTCACACATTGTGCAAACTACAAACTTAAGTATGTTTATACCTATGCCAAATGAGCAGACCTTGTAAAAAATTAAGATGACAGAGACCTGTCAACAAATAGCCTTGCTTGATTGCCCCTTGAATGCTTGAATGCTTGCTTGCCCCTTGAAATGCTTGCCCCCCTGCTCAAACGTGAGGGCACTTATGTAGTAAAATTTTTAACTTAACGATCTATAACTAAATTCAAATTTATCGCCAGAATTTAAATTTTGTTGAAAAATATTGTAAATTACAAAAGTCGGTTTACAAAATTACATGTCAATGCAAAATGTACATGCAAAATGTACACCCCCTTATTTATTTATTCTTTTGGGGGGAGAAGGTCGGAAAATTTTACTACATTAGTACCCTCATGTGCAGGGGAGGGGATGCAAGCATTTTAGGGCTTTTTTGTTCCCAGACTACCGCCATAACAATTTTTTACAAGGCCTCTTCAAATGCCATAGGTATAAACATACTTAAGTTTGGAGTTTGCACAATGTGTGGTAGTGGTTTATCTGGAACATCAAAAAATCCTGCAGGCGCCCATGCATGTGTGTGCATAGAGAGAAACTATACCTTCTACTCCCTATACAATACATTTTTTCTTTAGTCAGAATTTTAACTTTTCTATTGACTAGCTGGTTAATTGTGTAAAATTAGAAAATCAAAGTACGTACTTTTAAATTGAACCCTTGAACCCTCTCCCCCCCCCCCATACGCTTTTGTACCCCAGGAAAAAATTTAATACAGCGTTTTTGAGAAATTGGGAATTTAGGTGCAGCTAAAAAAAAAAAGAAAAAAAAAGGTGAGTATACTTCCATTTTTTAGATATAATTAAATTTTAATCAAAATAAATTTTTTTGCTGGGTATTATAGTTATAGCAGGATTATTTTTTTACTTTATGAATGTTTAATTCTAATTATAAGCTTGTTTCATTATGGGCAATCTTCTAAAGTTTTCATTTTTAAATCGTTTCTCGTCTTTGTTTGATATACTGTAGTCGTTTTTCAAAACGCTTTAATAGGCTTATTACGTATTTCAAGAAAAATGTAATTAAAAAAAATTATTTGGAGAAACTCTTTGTAAAACGCTTTTTGAAACTAATAATTTTTATGAATTTTTTTAGAACTCTAAAAATATGTATTCAAAAGCATTTGTAGACATCTAAACTAGCTTATTTGGTAAAAAAAAGTCAAATTGATTTTTTTTTACATAAGACACTTTGAAAAATTGCTGCAGTAAAGAGAAAACAATAACTAAAGACAATTGTTTGCTGTTTTAATGAATGTATTGTTAAATTTCATTGAAATTTTGATCTAGATTAATTGCATACATCGCTTTTTTAACACAGTTTTAAAAGATTTAAACGATTAGTTCTGAAGAAATATATTTGACTATATAACTATTTAAATACTTTATTATTTTGAAATACTTAAAAAACTTTTTTACAAGTGTCAAATTTTTATCATTAGATAAATTTAACAGTTTAAAAACTTATTTAAATTAATAGCTTTTAAATGAAAATTAAATGAAAGTTATTGAAATCTTAATAACTTTTAATTAAAAAACTTGGTTGGCTTGCCGATTTCCGTCAAAAATAGTGTTTGTTAAAAGAACTTTTGTTGCAATATGCTACTTTAATTTAAATAAGTAACAAAGACATATAGGGGGCAAAGCAAGATTCTTTCACCGCACGAGGGCAGCAACTTAATTTAATTGGCGTATTTTAAATATATAGTAAATTATGTATTTAAATTAAAAAAAATGTATTTAAATACAAAACTATTATTATTATTCTTTTTTCAATTTACATTACATTCATTAAATATGTACATAAAGTTTGTATTTATAATTTAAAAAAAGAATTTTGTATTTATAAATATTGGTTAATAATTAATAGTATTATAATATTATTTAATTATCTTCTTTTACGTTTTACGTAAATATAACATAGATAATACATTTCATAGCAAGTTTTATTTTTGATTATTTTTGTTGTTATTTTCAATTTACTTTACCTGCTAATTTAATTTGCTGAGAGTATTAATAAATCTTTTATTACAAAAACGTTATTAACTTATTTTAAAGTATAGTATTTATTATTATGCAAATTTTTTTGTAACTTTACTAACTTAAGATAAACAGCAAAACATAAATAAAGAGTTTTTGA